TTCCTTTGCCTGAAACCCCTTTAATTGTCTGTCTCCGCAGAGTGAAATTAAAAATAAATGAGTTATTCAATGAAGGCACTTGTTTCTGAGTTTGAGCTTTCAAATGTCACAGCAGAGAAGCTTTTTTTCCCTGTGAGGAATCTAATAGTCTGTGAGCAAGATTTTTTTGATAATTGTGATATTTTTTGGGCTCATCGTATTCTCTGTAATTGAACCAGATGTTGAATCTTCTCTAGAGGAGAAGGATCTTCTGAGTCTATGTAGTACTTTATCAGTCTTCCATCCCCAAAGGTTTGAGGTTAATGTAAAAATGAAATAGTAAGGCAGATGTTGTATGTAATGTTGCTGTAGGTGGGTAATCCCTCTTGGTCCAAAACACTTAAAAATGTGCAACTCACAGCTGCATACTAGTTGTAACAAATGGTTGGATGATAAATTGTTGTAGGATTTTTTTGACATCCAGTCACAATCCAGCTCTTTGTATGCAGAGTGACTTTCACTATTTTCATAGTGTTGCAATGATAAAAAACAGTTCTTAAATTCAAGAGGCTAAGGGCTGTAGAGACCGATTGCACTATTTGTGAGTAACTTACAGAAACGTTTTGGAGGGGAAAACCCTAGACATGTTTCAGCTTGTCTTCTCTGCTGGTTTCTCATTTCCATATAATAACGTAGCACTAAAGAATATGTGTAACTAAAAGTTTGTCTGGTTAAGAATTGTTTCACTAGCCAGTAAGCAATTAGTCACTAAATCCAAGAAGGCAGTAGTGATATTTAATATGACTAAATTGAGTACTTTTTGCTTTTGAGCACTACTATGAATATATGGCCTGATTTTTTGAAGCAAAGGAATTTCAGCTGATTTCATTTGGTATATTCACAAAAGAGAAAAGTATTTTAAATATATAGGAATCCAGTTTGCATTGGTCAGACCTTGAACTTAACCATGGCTATTACATGTCCTTAGGAAAGGACACCTAAAACAAAAGCCGATCAGGAGGGCCATGGGAAATCTGGTTGTGTAGGAGCACCTTCAAGCCTCATGACTCAGGTAGGCACTCCGACTGCATTGCGTCTGTGTTAGGGTGAAGTGCTTGTAGGTGCCTGGTCCTTCTCTTTTCTTACACTCTGGTTTCCACTGGAAAGAAGCCCTGCTGAATATCTGGGGAGGAACCATAAAGTTCTCCAGTCCTACCATGCCTTTGTGCCTCAAGCATACCAAAGAGTGTTCTTGCCTTTTGGTATACACACAGTTCCAGAAGTATACACTAAAATTTCACACCAGTGTTGTCGTGTTGTTCCTGTTTAGCTATATGAGAAGTGGGAACATGCAAATACCCAGTATGTGTTTTCCAGCATACCTTGTCTCCCATGATCTGTTGCTCAGTAGTTTGCTTAGCCACAGATTAATAATCCTTGTTAAATTTTTCAAATATGGGCTTGAACATAATGTTATTTGATTATTTCTTTAAATGTCTAATTCCAGTTTTATGCTGGAGGTGTTTGATAGCATGAATTTTTAATCATCAGTCTGGCTGCATTAATCCTAAAGAAAGGCAACAAAAGGTATTGCTCATTTTAGCATTTATATTTATGCTGGGTGGCTAATGTTACTTCAGTTTAGCCTATCAGTTTATGGTAGAATATGTGTTCAGTGAAATTTCAGATAATCAGGATCTGTTAACACATCTGTGGTGGGTTTATGTTTTGGCAGCTGGGAGTTGGTTTCTGTGAAAAGAATCTAGAAGCTTCCCCATGCGGCCTGTGGTGAGGACCGTGGTGAAGCTGGCTGTCCCCCTGCAGCCCGTGGAGTACCATGGGGGAGCAGGGTTCCATGCTGCAGCCTGTGGAGGAGCCCCTGGTGGAGCAGGTGGATATGGCCTGGAGGAGGCTGTGGCCCATGGAGAGCCCCTGCACGAACAGGCCCCGGGCTGAAGCTCTAGCCTGTGGAGAGAAGCCCAAGCAGGATTTGGGGGTCTGGGGGGAGCTGCCACCCATGGGGGGTCCGTGCTGGAGCAGTTTGCTCCTGGGGGATGGACCCCGTGGTACGGATCTACGTGGGAACAGTTCTTGAAGAGCTGCTTCCTGTGGGAAGCCCCCGCAAGGTCAGTTCGGAAAGGACAGCATCCCGTGGGAGGGACCCCACATGGAGCAGGGGCAGAGAGTGACCAAGAAAGAGTGGCAGAGATGAAACGATAGGGACTGACGGCAGCCCTCATTCCCCCATTCCCCTGCATTGCCCAGGGGGAGGAGGTGGAAGAGGGCGGATGGGAGTAAGGCATTTTTGGTTTCTTTCCTTTGTTTCTCACTTCTGTAATTTGTTAGTAATAGGCAATAAATCTTACTATCTCCGTATGCTGAGTCTGTTTTGCCCATCACGATAATTGTTGAGTGATCTCCTTGTCCTTATCTTAACCCATTGAGCCCTTGGCATCGTATTTTCTCCCCTTTCCCTTTGAGGAGGGAGAGTGAGAGAGCGGTTGTGGTAGAACTTGGCTGCCCACCTGAGTAAAGCCACCACAACATCCTATATTATGAAGTGACTTTGTATTCAGCTACTCAAAACTCGCCTTGAGATTGACCATGGGATGTGCTGCTGTTCCGTCTTTTGTGTATTTGCAAGCAGCAACGTTATCAAGGAATCATGGCTTAGCCATTACAGGAGGCAGCTAGTTCATGTATAACAAAACACAAGTTTGTTACGACATACTTATGATGTATCCAACACTGTACTTTGGGGTTTGTTTCCTTCTAGGGCAATGTAGCTTTTCAAAAATTTGAGCCACAGCAAGACTTCAGCTTGCTATTTATGTATTTCATAGTATTTGGATTTATATTTATCCTTCTGCTAGATTAATTTTAGTGAATTTATTTACTTAAGTATATTATGTTTGCAAGAGGGCCCTGTAGTACATTAGACTTGTAAATGTTATCAGGTAAAGTAACTACAAGTAATTAATATTTTTTAAGAGTGTTGCATCAAAATGCAAATAGGCAACAGGAAACCAGCTGCTAACTGTACTACCCAGCTTCCTTTCAGAGTGCTGCAAGTTTGCTATTTAAATCACTGTTTTTAGGGAAAGGGACCAGCAAAGGAATAAATTGTCACAAAAGTGAAGTTTATCATGCTTTTGATAGTTCTGATAGTCTTGAATTCTTACAACCAAGAGATTCACACTGGCTGTGCCCGTGTTGAGAAGAGGCAGAAGTTTAATTTAAGTCAATCTGTCTGTGCCTCACTTTTAAAAGAGCCAGTTAATATGCTTTGAAGTGGCTAATTTAGGAAGCTGGGCTCAAGAATCATGTATAACTCTGTTCTACCTTGTGTTTCTGACTTTAAGAAACAAGCTGCTTGATAACGTTCAAATGGTAATATTATTATTTGAACACAAGAATTATTGAAATTAATGAGTTCATTTTGAGGCCATGAAAGGTTGGATGAAATACTTTTATCAGAATACATATATCTTTCGTTCTTCAGTTCTTCCAGGTGTGAACCTCTGATGTATGTTAAGACATTAAAAGAAAAATGTTTTCTTGGAGTACATCTGCAAAAGTAGCAATAGAGGAGTGAACCCAGGCTGGATTGTGTTTCAGTAATATGAAGTGTAGGCTACCCACCTTCAATATTAAAAATAAAAAAGTAGGTCATGTTAACATAATGAGGTTGTTGTTCCTCAGTAACTCATTTGTTTGGTTCACATGCTTCATACATGAAGAAGCATCATACATTCAGAGCATCACTCTTACACGTGCCTGAGTTTTTTTGTTGAGATTTCAAAATATTTCTCAGAAGAAGGCTGATCAAATGTTGTTTCCCAGAACTGCTTTTCAAGTGTGTTTTCACACATCCTTTGAACATGCTTAACGGCATTTGTAATATGCATTATACATATGCCCTTCATTCTGCACAGTATGCCAGTTCAAACCTAGGATTAACAGAATAAGATTTTCTCTGTTACTCGTAAGCAGCAACAAATCACTTCTCTTTCTTCAGCGCAGATACGGTAAATCATCTTGTTTGTTTATCAGAATTTGCTACACCTTTTTAAACCACGTTTTTCTTAAATTAAGCGTTTGGAAAATGGCTAATGTTACTTGAAACCTTCTACAGCCTTGTAATACCTCTTACCGATCTCAATTTTGTTTACTTCTAATGTACTTCTAATGGTACTTTTCTATTTTATTTTAGTTAAAATACTACCATTTGGCAGAAAGAATGAGAAAAAAAAATTTCAAAGCTCTGGAAATTTAATTTGTGGTAGAATATAAAAGCTCTTCTTAGCTTTATGTGGGAAATCGGAGTCTGGAAAGCAAAAGCTGCATGTTGCATGAATGCTTCTTTTTTGTTTTGCTAGTTGTTTGTTTTGTTTTGGGGGAGGGGGGCTGATGGGGAAAGAGGTTGTTTGTTTTTTTTTTCTCTTACCACACATACAGATCAACTGATTTGGAAGTGCCTTGGGGGTCTCTGTATTCTGCCTCTCTAAGGCAGTGAGCCTGGCCTTATATGAACAGCAATAACTCATCATTGGCTATTCCAGGAAACTCCAAAGCTAAAGGGAAATGTTGGGAGGTGTTGAGTAACTATAACTCCAATCTTGTAGAAATGAGAATTTAACCAAAAATGAATCGAGGTACTTCCTGAGTTGAAGAATGAGGCATTTTTGACAGCCTGTTGTTTTAGTGGTCCATTTAACATCCATAAACTTCTTGCGTAGTAGCTATAGCAAGATGCTAATAGAAATATTACGGATGTGTTTGACATACTTAAATTAATAACTTAGTTAACGTATAAATTCATAGTTTTCTCACAGTATTTGGAATAGTAGCTTAATTTTCCACAGTCAGGGCTCAGTATTTGCACTGGATAGACTGAATGTTTTGCTCACTAATGCCATATTATCAATGTTGTTCTCTAATAATGCAAACAATATACATATGTGCATATTTATTTGTGTTTTTTTTGTTTTGTTTTGTTTGTTTATTTGCTATTTTTGCAGACAGTTCCATTGGGGCTGGGAGATGGACAGCTGTTCACCTGGACTGATGGATTGAAAAGGAAGGACTGGCATGATTATGAAAGTATTCAAAAAGATGCCATGCGTTCAGGTATACTTAAGTTCAGAGCAAATTTAAGTGGTTTATTCATTTTTTTCACATGATTCTTCTTCCTCTTAAGTCAGCTAAAAAGAATCATAACAGTCTGTATTTGCAGCATGTCACAAGGATTGATAATTTTTTGAACTGAGGGGTCAGAACAAACACAAACATCCTATTTCTGAAAACAGCTAAGTGAAAACAAAAATGTGTTCAATACTACTAGGTATATAATGACCGAATTTAGGAAATGGGCAAAAATATTGACAATATTTTTCATGTTGAAATCAGTTGTGATACCATTAAAAAAGTAGCAAAAGTGTTGGTTTCCAAACAAAGGGATGTATGTAATAGCTGCAGCTGAGTTGTCTTTAAATCAGTGGAGAAAATCTGAGCCTGATACCTATAACTGTCAAGAATATCCAGGGTTATGTTAGGAACAAATTTTGACCCTATTGCCACTGTTGAACTCCAGTCTTTTAGTTGTACTTAGGCTAAAGTTACTTCATTCTGACAATCTAAAATGATGTGAAAATGGAAGCAAATTATATCTTCAGATGCACTGAAGGACACTTGGTTACATTGAGTAATATAATTTTAATGTACCTTTATGTACTCTAAGCCATATGGGCAAACACAGGTTTGTGGTCCTCATTCTGTCATAGGAACATGTTCAGAGTTGAATCTTTTGTAATATAATTTACGGCTATTCAGAATAAGATGAATTAAATTAAAAGGAAAGGAAGGGAAACAGCAGTTAAATTGCACCTTAATCAGTGTCTGAAAGTCATTATTTTACAAAGGCCAATCTATTATAAAATGAATCATGCTGTCTTGATCCAACTGTCAGAAGACAGCCAACACCTTCCCCCAAATACTGAATCCAGTTGACAGAGTCGTAGCATTTGGGAAGTACTTCATTTTGTGAGGTCTTGAGCAACTAAAATATTTCAAGTGCAGATTAATTTTATAAGCTGTTTTTTCCTTTCTCTTTTGAAATTTTTTGATCACTAACTAAAAGAAATGATCCTTCCGTTCTACATGTGCTTAGGAGGAAACAATATGGGGGGGGAGGGGTGAAGATATTTTAGGTATTATAGGATTTGTCAGATCAGTGTTAATTTTGTTCCAAATTGCATATAGGATTAGCGCTTATTCCAACTGTATGTAGAATGACAAGTATCTTAGAGAATGTACAGACTAGAAGCAGCATATATGTAGAAACTTGTAGAGATGTAGGGAATGTCACATGTTTGGAATGTGGACCTTTTTGAGAGTAGTGCACTGACATTTTGGCAATGGACTTTTGATTCTTGAATATTTAACGTGAACCTTATGTGTTTTGGAAAATAAATGAAAATACTTATGATATTCTGATGGATAGCTGTAGAATTACCTTTGTAATGCAAGCTATTGCAGTGGAGTTGACTAAGAAATTAGCAAAACACGTTATGTAGCATTGTCCTACTTGGGCATTCTATTGCAGTTATAATTTTACAAGTGTGTGAGTACTTTACCAGTAAACTTATTTCCTTGAGAAAAATAATGTATTAAATTCTTCTGACTTATATTTTTACTGGTTTCCTGAGTGTTTGCTGAGTTTGAACATCTTAAAAATCTTTATACAAAATTGTGTCATTATTATTCGTTACATTAAACTAACTTTCAATGTTTTGTTGTTGAAATCACGATATAGCAATGCAAATGCAAAGGTAGAGTACAAAAGTATCTCTGTGCACTCTTTTAGGATATTCTATATAATTTCTGTCCTTACTAGCAAACCAAAATTTTGAAATCAACTTTTAGTTAAAAATTACTTAGAGAATAAGCTCTATAATCTAAAGGCACGAAAATAACACCAGTGGAAGGACTTCTCAGGTGATGTCAGAAAAGGCAGTCAGTGGCCATTACATGGAAATTAGGAAAATAGTGAAGCCTTTTTAGAATCCAGTTTATATGTAGATCTTTTTTTATTTTTTATTTTTTTTACAATTTTTTAAATTTACAGTTTATCTGTAAATCTTAGTTTCATGTGTATTGGGAATAGGCATTTCATAAACATAATTACAGAATGGTGCTAACTTGGCTACTTGTTCTCTTGCAAGACCAAAAGTTTTTATCCCCATTTATTCCACAAAATCAAAACTAATGTTCCTGAGTTTGATAGGTGTGCCTTGAAAGGTAATCATTTAATTGTTTTAAAGCTGAAGAGTAAAGTTACAGAATCACAGAATTGTAGGGGTTGGAAGGTACCTCAAAAGATCACTGGGTCCAACCCCCCTGCCAAAGCAGGTTCCCTAGAGCATGTTGCCCAGGTTAGGCGTCCAGACGGGCCTTAAATATCTCCAGAGAAGGAGACTTAACAACCTCCCTGGGCAGCCTGTTCCAGTGCTCCATCACCACAAGTCATTTGCAAGAAATGCAGAAAGACTGTACTATTTCTGTTTAAGTGTTCTAGCTCAGCTTTTTTTGTCTCTAAAATTAGAAATAATCTAGCATCTAAATACTGAAGTGAGTTCATGTTACTTTTGGATTTGTGGGGCTTTGTTGGCACCCCTGACATTCAAATGTGTTTTTATGCTGCTTTTACCAGTAGTTCACATTCTTTTAGCATCCTGGTGGTACCAGAGAAGGATGTTGAGGCTGAAGTGAATAATGGAGTGGCAAGGCTCTACATGTATAAGCTCCTGATACAGCAAAAACAAAATTAATATTCAAAGTCTCTTGCAGATAAAAAGGCTTCAATAACTGGTACTATTTTTTCAACTTCACTTTACACAGAAATTGCTCACGCTATAGATCATTCCAAGATCAGTTTCTTTCAACTGGAAATATTTGGTGAAGCCCCTTTGAGGGGAAAACATGCTTGTGTGCTTCCCACCTAACAAGGGGCATTACAAATGCCATCACATTGTATCTGCATTTTACTGCCACTGTTCTGCCACTGAGGAGGTGAATCCAGTGTCCACATGTGCTCCATATAGTTTTTATTCAACATTCTTTGATAGTTTAGAGATAGTTGCAAGATCTTCATTGCAGGGATATGTTGCTTTTACACTTGTGAAGAGCCAACTCCAGATTCAGCAGATGGCTGCCTTTCTTCCGACCTCTTTGCCACTCTTATGGTCCCTAGCAAGTGATCCCACCAGCTGGGTTTCCTGGCCATCTATTTCCAGACCAGTAGCCCCACAATCCCAGCTTCAGACCACAACTCAATGAGAGTTGTGTATGATAGCTAGAAGTTCAGTCTAGTGCACTGATCAAGTCTGTGGTTATTTTGAACCCTCAAGCCCCATTTTAGGTGTCGCAAAAGAACTTTTTTGGGTTAATCCCACTAGGAACCTAATCACCACACAACCATTCTCCCACTTCTTTCGCCTCATCAGGATGGGGGAGTGTAAAGAAAAGAAAAAAGCAAGAAATTTCATGGGTCAATATACAGTTTAATAAACAAAGGATAGAGGAATAAGGAAGAAAAAAGTAAGAAAAAAGTAAACTAGCGGTGCAAAGGTAGTTGCTCATCACCTCCCACAAACAGACTGATGCCCAGCTGATTTCCAAGCAATTGCTACCCTCTCCCAAGCTGCTCTCCCCTCCATTTTATTGCTGAGAGTGATGTTATATGGCATGAAGCATTCCTTTGGTCAGTTATGGGTTGTGTCTCCTCCCACCTTCTTGCCTACCAAATCGTACTTGATGGGGCAACAGAGTTGGAAAACGGAAAAGTCTTGAGGCTGTGCAAGCACATAGTCAAAACGTCAGTTAGTGATCAACACTGTTTTAGTCACAAATTCAAACACAGCATGTATAGGCTGCTGCGAAGAAAGTTAACTGCATTCCAGCCAGATCTAGTACACGTCAAGATCCTTAGAGAAATCTTTGATATAGCCAAAAGAGAGCTGAGCTCTCCACACTCTTTGTCCAGACACTCCACAAAAGATCCTGCTTTTCCAGCTGTATTGAAATAATTGAATGTTACTGGAACCAGGTTGTATGGCCTATAAGTAAGGCAACAGTCTGGAAGTCTATAAATTTAAGTATAATTTCCAGTTTTCTCACAGGTATTTCATTTTCTCAGTGACTCAATTTCTTGTCTTGAAAAAAGATAATGCTTTCTAACTCTATCAAGATTATTGTAGGTTACTGTTTCTTACCAGTGGCAAAAACCCAATGCAGTCTTTGGAGACATAACTCCTTAAAAGTTAATTTGTTTGCTAGCCATATTTTTTCTGTACCCTAGTAAAAGTCTGTAAATGAACTTGTGATGTGGGACTGCACTGCTATCTGTTTTGCACATCACACAAGGTGTAGTAGAATACTCGCAGGTTTCTCTGAGATATGACCATGATCTTACTGATACTGTTGCACAGATTCACAAAATGGCAATCGGCTCCTATACCTATGCCCAGCTATATTATGTAGTATAGAATACGTACTGTACAGCCAGCATTGAAAGGAAATTGTTGTACAGTCTGCTTGGATTTTGCTGTCTGACCATATGTCCTTTTGATTTACAAAAGAAATAGAGGGGAAAAAAAAAAGCATTTTCCCAATTTAAATGGATATGCAGATGAGTTAAAAATTCCCCACTAACAACGCTCCAGATAAAGTTGGCATGTGAGTAATTCCTTCATCTCCAGAAATGATGATGCAATACTGGCACAAATGGTCAGTTTAATAAATTATTTCTTGATAGTCAAATGCTGCAAGGCCAGCAAAACAGGTAATTCAGGCCATCCTAGATTGGTAATTTTCTTGCAAAGAAGAAATGAGTTGTGGATCTGCAGGTCACTTGGTATGTATTATCTGCCAATCATGAAGAGCCTGAAGTCCTAGATAGATATGAAAAGAAACGAATTTACATGATACTGGTGAAAATATTAGTGATTCTGTCAGTATAGATAGAATGCCCATCCTTCTTTAGATAAATTTTATACGAATCATTGCTGAACTATAAATAGATTTTTGTTAAAAAAAGAACATTATGTTGAAATCATCATGATATCTAGTCT